GAGTGAAATTTCTTGGCACTCAGTGGCACCGCTACTGATGTAAGGCTGAACGGCAGCAGCACGTCGTTCAACGCAAGTTCCAGAGTTCCTGGAACGTGCTGCAAGGCTCCAGGAAGGAAGATGTTACTGCCTCGATAAGGTCAGGCTTTTAGAGCTAGTAAGTAGTTCTTGGCAAAAGTCTGAATGCTAGTTTTCAAGCTTTGATTTCTACCTGCATCAGCGGAGCTCTTATTTTCTTCAAGGAACATGCTGCTGCTGGAAGAAATGCCAGCATTTCTGCCATTACTGTAAAAATGACTGTAAAAAAAAGGCCCCTGAAAAGGACCCCAAGACAGAATATAGCACACTAGAAGAGGCTATGGGGAACAGGATTGCCAGGAAAAACGCCTGGCTCTTCACTATCTTTTGTCACATGTTTTTAACCTAAGCCTGGTACCAGTTTCCTCTCCCTCACCTCGAGGCTTGGTCTGTACAGATACCACCTCCTGGCACATCTGGGTTTTGTGGGTTTTTGTCTGTGAATAGCCGATACATGAAGTATGCCGTATTATTTAAGCAACAGGGGAGCTGAGACTGATTGCTATGACACAGCTTTTCTAGATCTTCACTGTGACTGAGGAACTCTCCTCCACTTAAAAAAAAAAAAAAGAATCCACAGACTTCTTTCCATGGGTCTAATCACTAAACTGCAGTTTCCCCAACTGGAAAGCAGAAACAAGAACACAATCAGTTAAAATTAGTAGAGTTGCATACACAGGTGCCAAAAATTGAGACGGAGTTAGTATTGTCTGCCTCCTTGCCTTGTGCTCTCTTCAGTTGGCATCGTGACTCCTTAGACCTGCAGCTCGAAGATGCAAAAGGGACAGACATTTTCAGAAGTGCCATAGACCAAATATAACGAGAAAGCACAATCCATCTTGATGCTTCACTGACATGAATCACATTTGTAGTTTCTAAGTCTCTCCAACTGGGGCTTCTACCTTGTTGAGAAGTGCCTTCGTGGTCATTGTCATTCAGTTCCTAAAGGAATATATTCGTGGATTGGTATGTGTCCTGTTAACTGTGGAATAAATTAAATTCTCTCTTACCAACGCACTGAGAACACAACCCTGGTATTTAGGATCATTTCTGTAGGGATCTGCAGAATAAGATTCTCAGTGGAGTGCAGCTTCATGCAGCAGAGGGGAAGAGGTGGAATTACGTTACCGTAGGTAGAAAGCACCTACTCAAGCATACAGATCTGGTACATTTGCTAAGGAAGTAGTATGGCAACAGCCATGAGATAAATCTGTCAAACAAACGACCCACGTTTTATCTTCAGCTCTAGCACAGCACGTTTGATAAGTCTCTCTGTTGCTTTACTTATAAAATGGGTTGGAGGACAAACGCTTACTCCAAGGGCTAAGCATAACAGGCTACAGTTGATAGTGAAGGTTGAGTCGTACAGAAATTCTCCACTGTGAATGTCCTGAAAACAGAATCCATGTTCTTTCAGTCCGGTAACCTGCCTGTTGACCACGTAATAGTTGAAGAACTTTGACTGCAAATATGTGAAGTGGACAGGGAGGCACTTCGCATGGATTGCATTTAGGAAAGTTGCCTGTCGACCGCAGAAGATGGCTTCCACATTACTTCATGCACACCAAATGAATTTAATTAATCCCTTTATAAGCCAGCTCAGTCATTTCACTGGAAGCATCCTTTTCCAGTACTAGTCAAGACTTGTCCTTTCACTCCAAGATCTCTATTAAACAAACAAAAGGAGGAAGTGACCAACCTAGGGCAATGCAGGAAACCTAACGGAATAGGACGATTACCTCCAATTCAGCGTTACTTCCTTTTGTCCTTAGCATCACCTTTCTCTGCCCTGCTCATTTTTGTAAAATCGGTTTATTGCTCTGCAAGGACACATTGGATTTTACTGAGCATCACCTGTAATTTATTGGCTCTTTAATCTAGGCCCTTTGCAGGAAAAGGCAGTTTCCAAGAACACTGTGGACTACGACCCCTTTTTCCCATCTCAGCAGGGCTCTTTGTGTACCCTGAGGCACCAGCTGACTGTCATATGGCCACAGTGGTCAGAATTCACTGGGAGTGCCTTCCAGTCTGAAAAGGGAGTTATCTTTTTTTTTTTTTTTCTTTTTTGAGAATACTTTTCCCTCCAGTGAGAACAAAGCAAAGGCTTTCTGCAGACAATATTACTCCTTGTCTCCTAGGAGACATTTGCTTTGCTACATCTGTGTGATTAGTGGGAAACAGCAAGAACTTTCGCCCCAGCCAGCTGGCACACGCTGACTGGCGTACCGCTGCCCAACACAGTAACGATCAGTGGTGCTTTTTCCATTCCAGTCTTCTTTAATACCTCCTCAGATGCAGAGAACTTCTCTCAAAAATTCAGCTCTGCTTCGTCCTTTCCTCTGTATTTTACCTCTTTATTACTTTCAACACTTTTGCTAGGCTCCCTGCGGTGTGGGTTCACCTAGAGTCAAGACAAATACACAGCCTTTACACTTGCTGAGCTTCCACCCTAGACAACAACTCCTCCTCCTCCGGGGACTAATATTCTCTATTTTTCTTTTTTAGAATGACTAATACAAGGCCATCACTCTATGTCCACTTTCTGGTTTCAGTCCCATTTATTTTTCCTATTGTGATTCATTTTATCAAAGTAAATTAATTATATAAAAAAACCTAACTTTCATTGGTGACCTATTTTTTAGCTGGACTGCACAATAGGTTTGATTCAATAAAAATACTGTTTCAGACTGGGTATAGCTCAACTTCCTGCATCACATACTGTTTTCCTGAGTCCTTTCTCTCCACCGTATACTTACAGGGACCTGGTTATCCACTATAGATTAGAGCTCCTGTAAATTCACAAGCCTGTAATTTCATCTTGTAATTTTAAAAGCATATTAGGCCCTAGATTTGATTTCAAGAAACCCCTTCTGGCTGTGTCTCCTGCCTTTGATCCCTCCACCAGTACATCCAAAATTTGATGTAGAAACTCACACAAAATTTGAGTGTAAGCCAAAACCTGCAAGTCTGAAAAGCTTTACATTGCTGCTGTCTAAGCATGAAGGTAAGCAAACACCATAGCTGCCAGTGTCAAGGTTTTAGACAGAACTTTGCTTCTGAGCAGGCTCCATCTTGGCAGGGCTGCTACTGCCCACAGCCCGTCAGACCCGTGAGCTGGCCATCCTTTGCCTATCTCACTGACAAAGATTGATTTGAAAATGCACTGCAAATCAACCCATTTGTGCAGTCAGTTTTTGTTAGGATCCTTTTCTGAAAGGCAGTTTAAACTTATCTTTCTCAGTCCCTCGGAGAACGCCCTAAATTCAGGTTGGCCTGGGAGTGGTGACACAGTTTAACTTCTTTAAGGTGTAATCCCTCACCCCCGCCCTGCACACACAATTTCACAGCAAGAGTGCATGCGAGAGCTGAGGCCACTCACCTGAAGGGAAGAAGACAGGGTTTGCAATCTGTGTTTTAACACAGAACTGTGTCAAACTATTATTTTCCAGATCATCTTTTTCCTGCTTCAGCAATTCCTGAACGACTTGGAATTCTCATCTGGTCACTCTCTGAATTGTACTGATCAGCATCACCGCCTTGGTTCCACAGCTTTGCATCTGAAACCATCACTTTAAGGACAGAGAAAATAGTTCAAACTAACATCAGCAGCTCATCATGTTCTAAGTCCTCAACCAAACACGGGACCGAGGAGTTGCACTGCAAGTGATGTGCTTGAGGCAGATGGTCTCCAGGTGCATCAACATGCCGTAACTCAGCTTCAAACATAATTCCTCAGCTGTAAAGCAACAGATTTCCTTAGTCATTCCAGTGCTTCTACAAGTATTCAACCGGTGTATTCCAACTATAACTCTCCTAATACACCCACGGCTAAGTAGTGCATTTAAAACCAGCTCATCCTGATTCTGCTCTTTGCCTCTCCATTTTTTTCTGCTGAGCCCTAAAGTAGCTAGTTACATCATCTGCTTTATTTGTCCTTTATCAACACAATTCACTTTCTGTACTTTCTTTTCTCTTGTGCAGATACCAGTTTCAGTAGCAAAAGGGCTTTTCATTATACACAATTTTGTTGACTGTTTAATGAAACCAGTTGATTCTTTTGACATAATGATTCATAACCAGACTTTACTGGCTTTCAGTAATCACAGAAAACCCCCAATTTGCCTTATTTGATGTCTGCTCAGCAATTCCCTGCAGAAATGTGGACAGAAAAATACAAGACATTACTTTACTAGGTCACAAGATGGATAAAGGAGAAAAAGAGGAGGTCTGTTATGGTTACATGTGATCCTTATCTTCAATATTACGGCAAATTTCATTCAAAGGAAGTAATTTCTCTATCTATCTCTATCACGATTCTGAGAATGAGTTGGTCTGGAATTTAATGGGCTTCAAAAAATGTGTCTGTTTGGTTTAGGTAGTGTTCCTGCTCAAAAGCCTTTCTTTCTCCAGTTTAATTTGTCTGCAAGCATTAAGGCACTAAGAACTCCCGCACCTCTAGTATAGCCTTGGGGACTAGATAAACAACAAAAATCCCTAACATGCATAAGTCATGACTTTGACTGTGAAAGCTTTTAACGTTCCTGCTTTCTACACTACACACACAAAATCACAAGAAACAGTTTTCTACTTCCAGCCAGAACTACATTTAGAGATGGTTAAATTGACTGTTACACAATCTGCCTCCAAATAATCCTGAGTTAACACAAAAAGCCTTGGTTTACTTTTAAGAGTGAGATCTTATTTTAAGAACAGTATCAGGACTATCACTGATATTGCTTGAAATCCCAGTATCTATTTTACAGAAACTATGCAGCATGAAACCCCAAAGGAAATTCAATGAAAGCATCTTTAGTAAAACGTACAAACTTTAATTTACATGCAAAACTACAACATATTCAGAATAAAAAACTCGTGACTAAACAAATTACACACAATTTGTAAAAATCTTCTGCGTTGTTAAATAGGTCTGTACAACCAAAGATTTACAAAGTCCCTGTGCATTTTCATCTTCTCAGTGCACAACTGAGTTTAAAGGTTCTGCTCGAATATTCCCCAAGTCAAGAGCTGAATCTGTCTCTTCATCAATTTCACCAATGACAGCACTGCAATGAAAAACAGGTTATCATTTGTTGAAATCCCCTGGTGCAAATCGGAGTCACAAAATTAACTTGCTAGTGAAGATACCCCCCCCCCCTTTTTTTTTTAAGTTGTAGAGCTCTATCCTTTGAACGTCAAATTTTGATGGCTATAAGTAGAGTCTAAAAGATTTTTTGGGGGGGTGTTTTTTGTTGGGTTGTTTTTTTTTTTTTTTTTTCCCTAAAGAAATAGGTTATAAGAACTAAATACTCCCAGTCTGTTTTAGGCAGTAGGTTAGCCTTTGCAACAAGAACTGGAAGCCTTTCAGAAAGAATAGCTTTTCAGGAGTAACGTCTAACTGTAGCAATTTGTAAGCACATACAGCATCGGATAAGCAACACCATTTCCTTCAACACGGCCCAGTGAAATCTTATTAATTTATCCATGGGAGAATATACAGTATTACACCTATGCTATGTTAAGAGTTACCGGGACTAAAACCCTAGCGTACTCAGTGAAACTGCCTTAAAGAGAAAAGAAGGTGAAGGTAACAGAAGTCATGCTAGCTCAGGGTGAGAACTAACCCAGAAGGAACATAAGAACAAAGAGTCCAATCTTTCTAGCACCACTTCAGAGACTTATGAGCTAGTGGCTGTATCCACAAAATTACTTAACAGCTGCCAGAAACTATGTTATATTAATCCATCCAATTGCTTTCTGAACAAATTTGTATTTTTGGTCTTTGCTACATCCTGCAGCAATGAGTTCCACAATTAAGTTTTAGGGTGCGCAGTGAAATACCTTTATACATAACTTGTTGTCAGATTATCTTCCTTTTTCAAGAACAGAAAAAGCTAGATGAAATTAAATGAAGCAATTATCTCCCCATCTCCTTAAACCACTCCCGATTCCACAGCAATCAATTACTTCTATAGCTGTCATCAAAACATTCTTTTATAGAAAGTATTCTAATTTTTTTGTAAACATGACAAACTTGGAAACATTCATTACAAGGAATAATTCAGTATTCATGCAACTTTTAACATACTGAAATTTAGCATCATTATAGGAAGAAGAGTATTAAACAATTATTTGGCTTTTTATACACTTTTGTACTGTTAGAATGAAAAGTTACTGTTAGAGTAGCATGCTTAGCTGTACCTTTGTATGACTGTCATTTTATTCATTTTTGCTGAAAAGCTTAAGTGATGAAAGCTTTCCAAAATTATCTGCTCTCTCAATGTTAGATAAACACACTTAGACATAAATCTAAGTCATGACATTTCTTTGTACAGAAACATGCATTAGAATTAGTGTTAAAATTCCTATCCAGGCTTGCATGTTGGTCACTGTGACATGCTCGGTTTCTAGTTGTGATTAAAAAATAATCTCCTTTTTTGCCTTCAGTTTCAGAATGCTGCTGCAAAAATTATCTTCCCAGCAGGCCCACTTACCAGGCCTTCTTTCCCTTCTCTTTTAACCCTTCCATCTGTTTGGCACATCAGCTGCTTTTCTCTGCATTTAATGAGCTTTTACTATCATTCTGTCATGGCATTTTACATCAAATATCAACTCACACCTTTGACCTGTCACTACATTGGCTTCAACTGTCCAGCTGTTACAGTGTCAAGCCAGAACTTTCATGCATTTTCCAGATTATAAAGTGTTTTCTGAGAAAATCTCATCTAAAAAAAAATCCTGTTAAAAGTTAACTTTGTATACCAGATTGCTGACTTGTTGCACACGAGTTCTATCTCATCTTTTATTCATTCTTCTTTCTTTTCGTCTGTTGATGGATCCTGCCATCACAGACTGGAATAAAGAACATCTACGCAATGCCTAGACTCAAGCAAGGAAAATGCTGAGCTATTTACTGACCCTTCCTAGATTCTTATCAGTATATGAGCTGGTTAATTTACAGCTCAGTAAATCTAGACCAACAACATCTTAACATTACCATGCAATCACTTCTGTAACAGAAGCATAGCTATTTGCTATTTAATTTGCCTCAGCTCTGATAGTACAATCAGTGCTACCCACAGATACAAATACATAAGATGTCTGGGGCTACCAAGATGTATAAAGATAGAGAAGATATACATATATGCACACACTGAATTTCTATTAATTAAACAAGAATATGCTATACTTACACATTATCGCCTCTTACGATGTATAATCCCAGCACTACTTGCTCAACTCCTTGTGAAGAGCTGAACACTCGTTCATGGCTTTCATCCAAAATCAAGTTAATGGTCTGATCAAAACCTTTGAGGGTTCCCTGAAAAAAACCCACATAAAAATAAAAGCACTCCAATGACTTTTAAAAATCTATCATCTTTGCTCTCAAGGGTATCTTAAACAAGGTGGCAATACTAAAGTACTAAAGAACAGATGCTCTGTTTATGTTTATTGTTAGGCTTATAACACAAACAACTGGAGAATGAAAGCTTAAAAGCAAATAATTGATTTTAAAAAAAGAAGTATCTCTATTTACTACCGAGTTTTCATGTGAACAGCTACAGTAATCTTTAGCATTAAAAAAAGTTAAGTTTCCCTTGTACCTCCAGACAACTAATTTTCCTATTTCTACACTTCTACTAAGTCTTCCTTGTATGCAAGTTTCTAGAAATCAGATAACTAAATAAATCAAAGAGCAGGAAAAAAAAAATTCTTTTGGTCAACAGTACTGAAAGCATTCTTAACATGTGATTTTAAGTGGCATCTCTTTGAAGGAGATTAACTTCGTTCCACAAAATTACTCAAAAACACCACCAAAACACACAAGAGGAAGAATTTCTGTGACACTTCAATATGCATTTGGAAAAATAACATAACCGATTTGTGGAATTTACCATCAGTAATTGATTAAGAAATTTAAATTCACGTAAGACACCACTGTTCAAACAGTAGTAATACCCATTTATGCCACCTAACTATGTAACGATGAGTCACGTACACCAATTCCATTCAAATCTGTTTGGTAGAAAGTACCTCATGTCACAACACAAAGTTTACCAGACTGACTTCAACCACACAGATTTGGTGAAGCTAGTAATTTTCTCCTAAAAGTACCATTTTCTCTTTCCAGTGGCTGCACAAAGCTAAGTACAGACAGACTGGAAGATATAATCCTCATGCAAAGACCATACTATTAAGTTAAACTCAAACCACAAGAGAATAAAAGAGAGGGGAAAAAAAAGAATACAGGAAAAAAAACAACACAGAAGCAATAAGCCCCAAACATTATACAGTCTATTATATAATAGTTTGCCAGTCCTCAGCTTTTCAGGCTTAAACAGAATCCCGTAAAAATTCTTCCACAATTATCAGCTGATGCTTTTCTATAATCATATGGAAGAAACGGTTTTAGCACGAAAGTTGCAGAGCTTACTGAGGATAGAGGACATTTTAGCTGGAAACCAAATGGCTGAATAGAAAGAGAAATGCCTTTTCTTGTGCATTCCTACAGAAAAGTCCATATGACAAAAAGTCAAAGCATTTGCATGCACAACTTTAACAAAGGACAAAGCTGACAGGCAACAACCAGCAACTGTTTAAGTCATACAACACAAAATAAAGGCCATAAAGCTTTAAAAAAAAAACAATTGTAAATGTGTGAACATATAAATGATAATATCTTAGCATGGTTTCTCTATTGCCATGATGGAAATTCTTTACAGGGGCAAAATATGATGTGAAAAAATATAAGTCTCACCACAATCATTCTTCCATCAGAAGTAATTACCGCAACAGTACCTAATAGTTCATTAAGGAAATTATTAGATATCTGAAATAGAACCATTAGCATTTTCTGAAACATTCATACGCTATGTGAGTTTAAAGAGCCATTAAGAGCCTATCAGCATTTCAGTTTTTAAAAGAAAGCAGCATGGTTGATATTAACATTTGACAACACAGTATTTTTTATGACATTCTGTTTTGCAATTTCATGTTACCCAACCATTGACCCAACCAATGAAGAGTCATACACTAGCGTGAACACCATTAAACACAGACTAAAGAGTTCACCTCTCTTACTAACTGCACTACCCCAAAACTGAAGCAACAGTTTTATAAACACTAAGTCCTTGAAAACAGCTTAGCAGTGGGGATCCCAAGTCTGGCACTGTATATCCAGTCACTGTGCAGGTGCGACTATATCAGTTTGATGATCACATATCAATCACGCTGAATGATTTTGGGTTAGTACTTTACCGTTTGTCAACAGAACTGAAAATGCCTATAGATTATTAGGAGTATAAAAAAATAGTAAGAAAAGGGTTCCAACAACACCAACTCTCAGCTTTTTGAGCAAATGATGTAAAGCTGATAACTAAGCACGTGTTAAGAGCCCTTTAAGGGGCCAGGCCCATTGTGAATCTCGCTCCTCATCACAGGTTTGCAGCACTCGGGGCCATAGGGGAGCCCCCTCTCTGGGGTCTCCCGTAACTTCCACCTCTCCTGCTAAGCCAGCCCCACGCAAAGAGAAACGGGAGAGCCACCCAGGAAGGGCCACAGCAGCGCAAGGGCCC